TGAAGATTCCTGCCCACTTCTTTGAGCAACAGAGAAATTGTAGATTTGTCGTGTAGCGTGTGCTGAACGGGGTGACCGTTTGTGCTGTGAAGTCAAAATGATTTAGGTCCTGATGTAGTTCAGAAGTTAAAACTGGAACCTTGAGGCAAAGTGCCAGAAGGCTAAAGGAGTGATGATGTTATGGGAAGGGAAGGATGCCGGGTCGGTGAGCTCACACGTGTCCTCGGGAGCCATAGCGCACATCTGTAGTTAAGTGTGTTTAGAGTTCTGAGACGTTCCGTTTGTGTGGCCCTAGCTCTTGAAGAGCCGTGCGTGTATGAGCGTTCTTGCTCCTAATGTGGAGGGGTGACTGCAGCTCTCATTCGCACTCGGCTTCACTGGAGTCCCAGCAATTAACACACTTTCCTCGGCTTAAAGTGGTGTGTTATTTACTTAACAGGTAAAGCCTGCTGTGTTAGCCTCAGCCTTAGCTCAGCAGGGAGAGACATGCTCCCTGCCTGTTGCCAAAATCAGGGCTTAATTTGAACTAATTTCTTTTGTTGAGATGCAAAACTAATTATATTTAACTTCAGATGAACAGGAAGTTGCATTAGCAGTTTTTTTCAAATCAATGGGGAGTTATTCAGCATTATTTGGGGGCTAGGGAACTTTGTAACCAGATAAAAGATATGGGGGAGGGCAGAGCTATAAAAAGTGTTATTGTGCGATTATGAAGAGGCCTTTTAATGCAGTTATTATGTGATGCTGAAAAGGCCTTTATTGCTTGAAGTTGGACACAGAATACAAATGGGCTCACAGTGTCTATTAAATGAAGAGTGGAAAAAATAGTCTCCGTTTTCCCAAACCACAAAGCAAAAATAGCGATAAAGTAGTGATTAAAATCCATAGCAGTGCTGGGTTTGTTGGTCTGATCATACACTAAGCAATAAAGATCAGTAAGTAGGGAGCAATTGTTGGTGCAGTTTAAGGCACAGTTCATTGTTATGATGAACCTGTTTATCCAGGTTATGATGTCAGCAAATTGTTCTGTTGATGAAGGCTGATTGAAACAATCAGGGTTGAATTCTCCCTGGTGTAAAATAAGTACGGATGAGCTTGATGTAAGTAATTCAGAGAAGCATTTCTTCTCAGACGATAGCTTATTTCCAGAAGTTCTCTTCAGTTTCCCTGATGTAAGGCTTCTGGACAAACACAGCTGGGCTCTTTTGCACCTGATTTCATCACCCGGGTCCGCCTCTCAGCCCGCTGTTAACCTGGTTTGTAGGGGAAGGCCTTGATGTCCTTTGCACTCTCGGGGAGAACCAAAACCAGGGCAGGTTCCAGACGGAAGCAGACCTGCAGTCTACCCAGTCTGTGACCTCGGCTCCTACAGAGAACCACCACCAGAAGAAAGCATAGGAGACTGAAAAAAGCCGGGTATAATTTTGCTTCTCAGCATCAGTGGCAGAATGGAAATGAGGCTTCTTAGAGTGTGTTTTTTGCCTTTAATAACTACGGGATGGTTCCTCACTCCGCCCAGTGAGTGAACGGGCGGTCAGTCGGTGGGAAGCCTTCCTGCAGAAAGTCCTGATACTTCTGTCCTTTTATTCATGATGGGGGCAGTGCTCCTTCGCTCTGCCGATGGCTCCATACTGAATGTTTGTCCTGCACAAGTCTGTTTCCCAAGATTTGTGCAAAACGTTGCCATTTCATTTCTGAAGCAGTGCATGCTTCTTGAAAACCCCCGGGGTGTTTGGCAGCTAAAACTAGTGTCTCTGTGGTCTGAAGGTTAAAACTAGCTGCTCTGAACTACAGCATGGAAACACAGAGAGTGACAGACAAAGCATCTGCAGTAAAGTTGCTGAGAAGTCCTCTGGTTACATGGGATAGAGGAATAGCTCAGTTAAGATGATTGCTTTCTGCAAGCTAATGGCTGCAGTTTGGAAATAAAACCTATTTGTTTCAGCTGCTTGAAATTCATGCTTGACCTGGACTTGTCAGGCCACGGAGCTGCCGCAGCATTAAGCTATAGCTGGAGGAAAGCCAGAATCCAACTACGTTTTCTGCCTAATGGGTCATAATTTCTGCTATGAAGAAGGCAGCGACGTTGCCAGGGGAAAAGGGCTCTGCTGGACATGTTCGGGTATGCGTTGCGGAAGGCTGGCTGTAAATGAACGTGAAAATGGGGAAGTATGGTTTCCTTGCTCACTTGTTTAGTACCAATGTAATTCAAATGAGAAAATAAGTAGTCATACAGGACTCTACACGACACAGGCCAGAAATCTGGTTCTCTTTCATCTTGGTTGTCTTAACTTGCTTGGCTGTGATTGTTTACTAAAATAGGAGTGTTTTAATAACTTCAGCATCACTGAGATTTTGGTTTTGGTTTCTGCTGTCACTTTCAAAGCGGTACGTTGCTTCTGCTTTGTCCATTAAATGCCGATCAGTTCCACTTCTGCAGTTAGATGAGGAAAACATATGGGTTATTTTCAGTAGTGGGACTCCAAGTGTAGACTTCAAAGCTGTGCTTTGGTGTTGAGGTAGGAGTCTTGCCCTACTTCTTAGAGAGCTACTCAGAGAGGTTGCCTGGTTTTGAAAGCCTAGCTGCTAATTTAGATATCTAAATACAGATTCAAAAAGTGAACGTTGGACGTCTCTTGTCAGTGTTGGTCTTTATTTTTTACTTTCTGAGCGAAGATGAGAAGGTTCTTAACGGCAGCAATTGTCAGAGCGTCTGAATTTTAACAAACATTTAACTGTTCACCTGGGAGCTCACATGCTGAAGGCAAGGTCATAAACGACTGTTTAATTGATAATTTGAAAACATTGTAAAAAGGTCTCATTATAACAAAAGTGCTTGTTTTTTGCTGATGGAGTGGTCATACCACATCTGCAATATTCATAACTACTGTTACGTCATTCTGGAGTATTTCTGTCACTCCACATTACTGCCTAAAGACATTAACTGAGTTTTTAATATTGTCTATGCTCAGATCTAGTTCCACAGTCATGCACAAGATAAATGTTTTAGATAGTCCTGTAAAGCAGAAATCTGGTCTTTAGGAACTCAAGAGGGCCGGATTTGAGATATTTAAGATCTTTCTGTAGTAGATCATTCCATAGCAAAGACCTTCCCAGGAAGAGCACCACAGAATCCGGTTCCAAATGTAAAAATCAGATGTTGAAAAGGTATTTGTAGAAAAACAACAACAAAAATGAGCCTACACAAGTAGGCTATTTAGTCCTTCCTGCATTTAATCTAATAAAACTTTAACCTTTTGTTACATTTGGCTCTTTGCACTTGCAGTTCTGTTTGCGATTGAATTGTGTTAAAGAGGTATAGCTGAGAGAAATTAGATTACCCAGAAGTAAAACGGGCACAGTACAGGAGCTAGAAGGACAATGTGTGCTTCCTTGAAAAGTACAAGGAAGATGGTAGAGTTCCCTCAGGCAAGATGCGTGAGTTAAATAAAGAGGTCCAAATGGAGATTAAAAACTAGTAAGCATTCTATTGGTTTCTTTCGGCAACTGTATCCTCAAACGTTCTGGAATTGTTATCTAACATGGATTATTTTTAAATGCTTCCTTTGAGGCTGTGCTGGATTTAGTTGTAGGAAGCACAGAAGGTGCAATATCTGTCCTTGATTCCAGACTCCCTCAATTCCAGATGAGCGTGTGATAGATGCTTCACTCAGGTCTTGAAACATCTGCGCCATCTCTAATGCCAAAACACCTTCAGCCTCTCATTTCAAAAATAAAATAAAAATAACCAAAAAATCAAGAAAACAACAACTGAAAAGAGCTAACAGAAAAACCAAAGCGCTGTTGTTATTCTGTAAGAAGACAGTGGAGGAGACCAGAGTATTGCTGATATTTTGATCTCTGCAGTAGGGGGGAGGTAGGGGAAATACGCCTGGATGAACTTGGAAACAAGTCTCAGCAAGTACTGTGAAGGCAGAAAACACCTGCTGCAAATAGGCCTTGTCACTACATACTAGAGAAAATCTCCTGCCTAATCCAGGTGTGCGCTGTCTGCCATGAGCACCTACGATTGCTGGCTGGTTGGACGAGAGTTCTGTCTGGATCAGAGTAGGAGATCAAGGAAGGTCAAGGACCTGCGATGTGCTAGTGACTCCACTCTGTATTTGTGGTTGGTAACTGGGGCGTGTATGAATACAGTATCATATAGAGCAACAAAAGACTCTAAAGCAATGATAATTTGTATTTGCTGCCAGGATGGGTCTTTGAGCTGGTTTCAGTTTGCATTCAGAGGGGTCCTTACAGGCTGCTTGATGTTCTCCTGTGCACACCAAGTGTGCTGCCTAGTGTTGCAGCCTGGTAGAGATTTGAATGTGAATCAGCTCCTTCTGTATCATTCCACTGGGTTTTAAAAAGGGCTGGGCACAACTCTGAATGTTAGCAACTTCTCTGAGGTCCTTGGGGCGGGGGCGGTGGGCCAGGACACTGTACATTCGGATAAATACTCATAAAGAGCACCACTTAGAAAGCTGAGAATGCTTCGCCCTGTACTCTTCCATTAGATGAGTAAAGGAGCCACAAGGACTGGAAGGCTGGCAAAGCTGTGTTTTTGGTTTTTTTGTTTTGTTTTGTTCTGAAGACCACTCCTCTTGTCTCACCAGCTTCTATGTTCTCATTTCTTTTCCAGCATCTCTACAAGTGGACATTGTTCCAAGCCAGGGGGAGATCAGTGTTGGAGAATCTAAGTTCTTCTTATGTCAAGGTGAGTGATGGCTTATGGCGTCAGTTGTCTGTACCTGGGTTTGCTGGAGGGTGTCGGTGAATGCAGTCGCTCGGAGATAAGAGCTAGCTAGCTGCCAGTTCTCTTGCTCTATCTTTCTCACGTGCCCGTATGGTTTTTAAGACTGAGTAGTAAAGGCAACATAAGCTGTTTACTGGAATCAGCAAGTGCATTCTCCCTTGAGAGCTAACAAGAGAAAGCAGCTCCAGCAAACAGATTTTAAAATGAAAAAACAGGTACCAATCTGTTGTCTCTAAGCTTCAGCAGTAGCTACAGCAATGGCACCTTGTGTTGTTCCACAGCTCTTTAATCTTTTGAATTTAAACTAGTTTTTTTTTCAGATTATTTCTCTAATCAACTGCTAACAGCAGTAATGGGAGTGCCAGGTCGCTTGAGAGTTGTTACCTCTGCAACTAGGGATTTTAGTGCTGCAGAAAACCTCCATTTCTTGTGACACCATTTACTGTTTGCTCAGGCCAGCATCTATCCCCAGGCTGTTTGCTTATCTCGCACAATGTGGCGCAGTGCTGACACAATCCATGTAGGGCCCAAAGTGGGTCCTACAATTTTATGGCATTTTCCAAATTAGCATCCACATGTCCTCTTCAGAGGTTCTCCTGAAAGCAACTGGCCTGGTGTCTAATGGGAGGACTGAGTATGTCGGAACACTGACCTTATATCATCCAGAAACATGACACAGAGCAAGTAGGTGCTGTAATGAGCTGTGAAAACAAAATGCTGTCAGAGGATCACTCTTCCTCAGGAGCGTACTGACTGGGACAAGTAATGAGGTCATCTGATCCGAGAGTGCTTAGCTGCAGAGTAATTTGTTAAAGCCAGTGCTTTAAAAATGAAAGTATGCTCTGAGCAAGTGCTGTTGTGATGATACGTACATTCAGAAAGCTGTTGGATCAATTAAAGCCCCTCCAGTAATAGGAGTTTATCCCAAATAATAGAGCCACACAGGAATGCAGAGTTGTGAGCTGCAAGGAGACAGCCTGGAATGACTTAATAACAATTCTGATTTACACTGGATGCAGCAGGAGGTTTAGGCTGATCAGTGCCACAACTGCTGCTACACCAGCGTCACCATTTTGGCATTCCATGTAGCCCAGCCTGCAGATACGGCTATTTATTGAAAACGTGGTGGAGCTGAAGCAGGAAGAGATTTTGATTTCTGAGGCTGGTCTGTGAGGTGGAAGGACCGGAACATGGGATCCCAGGATGCACAGACTCTGGGCTGAAATGAGTGTACCCCTTTAGTTTATAAAACAAGCTTAATATCATTTTTGTAGGAGAGCAACTGACCATTCCCAGTGCTGTGAGAGAGAATTCTCTTTGCTTGCTTCTCAGGTACAAGAAGTTCTTCCCCTCGGTCAGTTTTCTGCATTAGCACTACAGGTTGTATTTAATTCTCTTTGTGCAGGTTGTTGGGAACTGATTTCAATTTTGCTCTGTTTTCTTTTACTGTCCCTAGTGGCAGGGGAGGCCAAATATAAAGACATTTCCTGGTTTTCACCTAATGGTGAGAAGCTGACGCCGAACCAACAACGCATCTCGGTGGTGCGAAATGATGACTTCTCCTCTACCCTCACCATCTACAATGCCAACATTGATGATGCTGGCATCTATAAATGTGTTGTCAGTAGCGCGGAGGAGGGAGACTCGGAAGCCACCGTCAATGTGAAAATTTTCCGTAAGAAAGCAACTCCGAGGCTATTTTCTGGTCTACCTTGCAGATGTATGAAGCAAAATCAGGGAGGCAACTGTTCTACCTTCCTAGAAAAGGCTGCTTTTAAAGGGGTAGAAAGAGGGCGAAAAGAAAGGGAGTGTTAAGATGGTGCAGCCTTCTCCTTTCTTGGTTTTGAGGGGTAAGTGCGAACTGGGACCTTGGCCTGTAAGGGGATTACCAGCATGTCTACTGCTTACGTTCCCCTGAAAGACAGGAGAGGGAGACATTATAGATGTCTGGGAGGAGTAAGCAGAGAGACCGGGTTTTGTGGATGACAGATACGCTCTAAGTGTAGCATTCAGTAAAGAGGATCACACATTCAGAAGGGTATTACAAGCCATCAGCATGTTGTCCAGCAGAGCCATGATAGCAGCTCCTCCCCTTCCTGCTGGGAAGCTGAGCAGTTCTAAGTTCATACTGGCTCTTTGTAGGGTGGACAATTTCGTGACCTAGGCAAAGGATTGATTAGACCCGCTGATATGCCTGGGAGGCAGAGCAGGACAAGAGGGTTCCTGTGTGACAATGCCTTGAGTCAGGAACACCTTTATCCTCCCCTCTGGAATAAGACGATTGGTAGGGAACATGTTCTTTGGGGTTTCTCTGCTTTCCTCAGGCTTGAGTCAGGAGCACAGCCTGAGGTAGTGACGAGAAAGCTGCAGTGACCTTCTCCTTCTGTTACTTTCAGAAAAGCTGATGTTCAAGAATGCTCCCACTCCTCAGGAATTCAAGGAAGGGGATGATGCCGTCATTGTGTGTGATGTGGTCAGCTCACTGCCTCCTACCATCATCTGGAAGCACAAAGGCAGGGATGTTATCCTGAAAAAAGATGGTAAGGCACAAGAGACGTCCCGGTGCTTGTCCATTCAGCTATCAAATCAGCTCGTACAGGAGGTTCAGGAGAAGAAAATGGTGTGGCCACAAGGGAGGAGAGAAGCAATTTGTACTTAACACTGGGTCTTAGGCTGTGAATCTAGTTATTCGAGGCGCTGCGATTTGGCAATGGCAGGGCCAGAATTTTTCCCACAGAAATGACAGTCAGGTTTTGACACTGGAATAGGCCAAGGAATGCTAGAAAAAGATGTCAAATAAAATAAATGCTATCAGACAGAAAAGCTGTACGTTGTGACACTTTCCGGACTTTCTAAGGAAAAATGACTACAAGTTCCTTGCAAGAACCTTTCCTTTCTTTCAAGGTGGCACTGACTGTCGTGCCCAGTGTGGCATTTTACTGACAGGGGGGACTCCTGAGCCCTGACTCCAGCTGAGCATTGGAGCCTCAGCTATTGCCTGTGTCTGCTTGTTGCAGGCACAAGTGAACTGTAGCAAGACTTGAACTCTGCCGCCCTTGGGCACGAGGGGCAAGTTTCACATTGCTTATTTTCTGATGCAAATTAAATGCAAATGCGTTTGCATCTCTATGTTTATCTCTCTGTGTGTGCTTACAGTAACAAACACCAGAGCAGTTCGCCTGCTACCCGCATCTGGTTCTTTCTTGGCAATGTCAAATCCAGTTACAGCAGCATCTCCATTAAATGGTGGGAAGGGGAATTTAGTTACACTAAGCCTTGTCCCCAACCCAGAAAGGGCAAGGAGAGGACGAGAACCTGTTACCTGCTATATGCTTTCCTAATGATCCTTGGATGAACCTGCCTTTTGTCTTTTCTAGTTCGATTTATAGTCCTGTCAAACAACTACCTGCAGATCCGGGGAATCAAGAAAACAGATGAAGGGACCTACCGGTGCGAGGGCCGGATCTTGGCTCGTGGGGAGATCAACTTCAAAGATATTCAGGTCGTCGTAAATGGTGAGCAGCTTAGAGTAAGGCTAGTACGGGAACAGGGTATGTAGCACCTGCATTCCAGGCTGCTGGTGGAATTGTTTTAGTTTCACACTCAGGATTTGCTGTAAGCTTACTAATCTTTCTGTGCTGTGTCAAATAAACGTCCCTGACTGAGTGTTTACCAGCTGTTTACAGGAAATCATCATGTCAAGAGAAACCCTAAGTGTCTCCTGACTTAGAGTGAGATGTTGATGTTGTTGGGACGCACAAGTGGTTTTGTCCACAATACTGACTTTTTGTCTGTCTCCCAAACCCCTGCCCTTCCTTCCCTGTGCTCATTGCTTTGGAGAGCTCATGCATCAAACCTGTTGATTGAAACCTGCAGGCCGTGGCACAAGGGTTTGAATTCCTAGTGATGGCTGTGTGTATTGCAGATATTTAAAGTGAGTGTCCAGGGCTCACTCTTGCTCACATCTTCTGTCCTTTCTAACTTGAATGTGGATTCCTTCTCTTCTAGTACCTCCTTCTGTGCGTGCCAGGCAGAGCACTATGAATGCCACTGCCAACCTCAGCCAGTCTGTCACCTTAGCATGTGATGCTGATGGCTTTCCTGAGCCGACCGTGACGTGGACGAAGTAAGATGCTCTGTGCAGTGTCCTGGTTGTATGTGAGCATGGATGTTTTCACCAAGGCCTGGAAAACCAAGCTGGAGTGAAAGCAACATTTTAACTAGAATGAGATCAATTAATTTTTTTTCATAATAGGAAGAATGGCCTTGTAACAGAATTGTGATTAGCTTCTGTTGTGGGTTAACCCTGGCAGGCAGCTAAGTACCACGCAGTCACTCACTACACGCCCCCTGAGTGGGTTGGGGAAGAGAAGCAGAAGGGTAAAATTCAGAAACTCATTGGTTGAGATAAAGACAGTTTAACAGGTAAAGCAGAAGCTGTGCATGCAAGCAAAGCAAAATAAGGCATTAATTCACTCCTTGCCATCAGTAAGCAGGTATTTGGCCAGGTCAACTGTTTCAGCTGTATCCCCTCCCAGCTTCTTGGGTACCCCAGCAGCGTGAGAAACAGAAAACCCTTTGACGTGTGCATACTGTTCAGCAATAGGTGAAACAGTGTTATGTCATCAATGCTGTTTTTATCACAAACCCCAAAACTAGCACCAGATGAGCTCTACCATGAAGAAAATTAACTTTGTCCTGGCCAAAAGCAGTACAGCTTCCTGCAAAAAACAAGAATAACACTACAAATAGCAAATTTTCCCCATCCCACTGCATCCTTTGTGAAGTTGGAAATAGAGATGAAGCTGACCAGACCTATTAGTTTATTATCATCTGCTGCACTGGTGGGTAAACTTAGGCAAAAGCAGATGCTGTAACTTGGATTTGTCATGCCAGGACATTCTCTTCTAAAGTGTTTCTCTTCATTTCGCTGGGTCTAAATTTCACTGTCGGGCAGTTTGTAGCCTTTGGGGAAGGTTACGAGGACAAGTTGGAATTTTGAAAAAGCTGATGACAACTTGGAGTACTGCCTTGATGTGCAAGGACAGAAGCTACCGTCAGTGATGTTCACAGCTCTTGCATATAGTCTGTGATGTTTCAGGAGGTGAAGGGTTCAGCTGCCAAGAGCCCTAAGGCAGGAGGGATTAAGAATAGCCTATGGGTAAAGGAAAAGGTGGTGGTCCTGCTCAACCTGAGGAGTTTCAGTGTAGTAACACAATTCTAGCATTAACAACAAGCCTAAAACAAATAGCCTTTGTTTGCTGCTCCTCCCCAACACAGCCAGTGTTTTTTGTGCCCCACAGGGATGGAGAGCCAATAGAAGAGGCTGATGATGAAGAGAAATACAGTTTTAACTACGATGGGTCTGAGCTCGTCATCAAGAAGGTGGATAAGAGTGACGAAGCAGAATACATCTGCATCGCTGAGAACAAGGCTGGCGAGCAGGATGCCACCATTCATCTCAAAGTCTTTGGTAAAATGCTCTTTCTGTTCCCGCTTTCTAATCCAGTCGGCTCTTGATAGCCCACTAGTGCAAGCTGGAAGTAAACTGCTTATCCCGGTTAATGTCTGATGTGGGTTGTCCAGAGCTGCTTCTCTCCCAGGTAATGCTGTACATCTCTGCCATCATGCTAGGCCAAACAGATTCTGTGTATGTATCTGAAACAGATGCCAACTCCTTTTTGCTGCTTCTCTGATAAAAGAAATTCAGTCCTGTGCAGGTGGTGGTGTGAGATTCTTGCACTCCTTGAGATACCTTCCAGGCCCAGATGGCTGAATCCTTATCCAAGCAAAGCTGCTACTGGAAGAGCTTTAGCCCTTCAGTGGGACTTGCTCTAGCCTGGACAGGGAAGGCAATTCCACCCCACCACTGCGTGAATGACCTCAAGCCTGCAGGAAGGAATCAGCAGCTTTCCTAACATTGAGGAATGTAATTCTCCCTGTCCCAGCCCTTTGCAGGCACCTGGCAAAGCTGCCTATCAAAAGGCTAATTTAGGGGAGAGAAAGTAGACAGTGAGGTGGAAGACTTAGGTGATAATCGCAGGGACTGATTGTACACAGCTAAATGGGTTCTACTTCAGATATACCCTTTTCTAGCCCTCTCTTTACAAGCCTTAACTGTAAGTAGGCATATGTAGAAAGAGTTTTCTAGTTCTGCCAGGAGTTACCCTCTTTTGCAATGTCATTCTGCTCCCTTCACGACATGGCAGTAATACTGTGCCAGTTGAAAAGCTTTTTTTCCCCAGTGCTGCTCGTTTCGAACACTGCTGTTGACAGGCAAGCTTCATTCTGAGCACCAGCTGAATGAATTGGTTTTTCTTTTCAGCAAAACCAAAAATCACGTATGTGGAGAATAAAACAGCCATGGAGCTGGAGGATCAGATTACACTGACCTGTGAGGCATCTGGGGACCCAATCCCTTCCATCACTTGGAGAACTTCCACCCGGAACATCAGCAATGAAGAGAAGGTATGACTCTTCCCAAAACTGTGGTCTCATTTTCTGGGATCAGTGCAGCTTGTATCTGCTGATCCAGCATGCCTGATAGCCGCATGCAGACACACCTGGAAATCATGGGGATTCCCCTCTCTGTAGTGATTGTGTGGTCCTGAACAGACTTATCTCCTGAAGGGCCAGCGTCACAGCTGAAGTAATACCATAGGTGTCCTTTTGTACGAAGAGCCATCTCAGTTTATAACAGCCGAGGATATGCTTTTTAATTCCTGTTGGTAACCCTCTGCACTGAGCTAACTTGAAAAGCGGTTAACTCCTCCCTTCAGAGGAGTTCCCAAAGGTACGTACGGTTTCAGGAAGCTTGTGAAAGGGTTTTCCCTTTTGTTTCCAAGCTGTGAGGTGGGAATGGGTGCCCTGATTCCAGTGTTGTCCCTGCTGTTGTCATGATGATGATACGATCTGGGAGGGTGGCAGATGGAGAGGTGTGGGATAGTCTGTCTCAAAGATGCAGTGGACCAAAATGAGCCTGTTAATTCCTACTTGCCCTTCTGTAGTGTATTCTAATACTGCATGTATCAGGAGCACAAAAGCCTGGCTGCCTTTGTGTTCACCTGTGTTGTTGATCACATCAATACCATTTTGTTCTTAAGAGGCAAAAATAATTAGCAGTTTTTCTTTAAAAAAAAAAAAAGAAAGAAAAAAGAACTCTTGTGTTCAGGGTTTAGGGTTGTTTTTTTTCTTTTGTTTTATTTTCTTGTTTTTTCTTGGCCACAATTCCCCTTAACTAGAAAAGATTAGGATGTGCAGTATTACTGTAGAACTTCCCTAGCAGTTGCATAAGGTGATCAGGAGGCATAGTTCAGAGCCAGAGACGCCTGGAGTAAGGAGTTGTTGCTTCTTAATCATCTTCTAACAGCAGGATGCTTCACAGCACAGCTAATTTGGACAAACCAGGGGTTCTGACCTGATATGAAGACAGTAGGTGCTAGATTATGAAAGTCTTAAGGCGACAGAAGTATCTGCTCTCAGTCATCCACACAGCTGCCTTTCTGCGCTGTAGCCTCCTAAATAAGCTTTAATTGCTCCACGATGTCACCTCTTTACCATGTTGTTAAAGTGTAATTTACTAATCAGGATTCCAAAGTTTTCTAGCATTAGTTCTTTAACATCTTTTGGATTTGAAGGCAAGTGTAAATCCCTGCAATGTTTAGAGAGATATTTCTGTTGCCTTCAAAAGCTCTTGGCTTGGGCTCTCACTACAGCATGACTGGAGGACCTGTTTTGACAGGATGAGGTTATTCATGATCCTCTCTCTGCCTGGGAGAGCAGTGGGAGGAGGTACGAGCTTTAGTGCTTCTGGGACTAGAATTTGGATCACAGCCACAGAAAAGAACTGCAACAGGGAGAAGAATACAAAACCTGAAATAACACTAAATCAAGTGGAAGTCGACAGGAAAGCCTATTTGCAGAGTCCCATCTGTCCAGCCCAATTAAACTGAGATGATCTCAGTTGCAAAACTGCTAACCATTTTTGAGAATCTCATATATCCTGCTTGAAGGAAAATGTTAATACTCTGATAGTTTCTTACACAAATTGGGGGAAAGTTAAAGGTTTGAGATGCTCCCACGTATCCTTTGTACTGGTTCAGACCTTCAGGGCAAAGAATTTTTTCAACATACACCATGAATTTTCTAGGTAGGATTTTAATTTGTGTGTGCGTGTTCTGTTTTGATGAGGGGTTTTTTTTAACATTTTCCCATTATCTATCCTGTGCTCTAAGTTTTTAGGTGAATGGTACAGATAACCAGAAAATCCTCAGGTCAAAATAACTCTGATAAACTTTCCATCACATGTACAACCAAATGCATATATTCAGTTTACACTTCACTTACTGTCACTGGGACAGCACAGGAAAATGTCTTTGACGTAGGATGAACAATGCTATTTTTAAAATTAACAAGCCCTACTTTGGAATTTTAGGTACTTGAGTGCATCTGTCTGCCACATTTTGTTTATTCTGGTAACCGTGCTTCAGACCAGATTTTTAAAGGTATAGAGGTGCCTTAACTCCCGTGAACATTTGGTACTTCAGGGAAAACTACCCAAACAAACAAACCTTCTCTACCTTAGAGGTCTTTTTCCCCATCTCAGTCTTTGCCTGAGAACAGAGATGGTCTGACATGTGTGCAAGGAGCTATAGCCCAGACACCTGGGTCGGCAGTGCCACAACTACTTCAACGTTCCCACGCTTCCCTGGGAGATGCATAGCAAAGCAATGCGTAGCAGAAGATTCTCTTCTCTAAGGCAGTGCCTACTTCATGTGGCACCCCTTAGACAATCAATCTTTTGCTCTGAGGGTGTTCTGGAAAGGGAAGTGGTTGTGACTGTGCTCAGGAAAAATCGGATGACTGGCAGCTGTATGCCAACACAGATGAGCAGACCAACCTTCCAGATACTGACATGGTCGAAGCTTCCTCTTACTAGTAAGCTGGCATCTTGCATTGTTCTGCCCATGCAGAGGGTGCAAGTAAAAACAAAACAACTAAAAAGAAGTGTCCTAGTATGTGGTTTACTTTGATTGTGGATGTAGGAACATGCTCCTTAGGAGAAACTTTTGCCCTGCCAGTCTGAGATTCCTACCTTATCACTACTGCAGAGCAAAGCAAGAGGCAGCCCGCCTGCAAAGCCGTCAGCGTGATGATTTGAAATGTTTGACTTCATCTTTCCTAAAGTGTTTATTGCTGCGCCCATGGTAGGAAGGAGGAATGCTTTCTCTTTGAATGCTACCAGATGTAAGGCCAGTGTGCCATATTCCTTCTTGCCTTCTTTCAAGAGATGGATTTCTTCTGTTGCTCTAACAGAACGTTAACTGTGATTCGGTAAATACGGCTTTGGTCTGTTGTGTGCTGGTGCGTCCAAGTTTTACATTTGTGGTGCAGACATGGGTGTGTTACCTGTCTGATTTTTGGGTGAATCAGTTGCTAGCTACTTTTACACACACTTTCATGGAACAGGAAGGCAGTGAAGGCAGCCCTAGGTTTCCTAGGCAGCAGCATAGCACAGTGTGTGAGGAGTGCGAGGGGTAACAGGTGATGCTTTTATCTTGGCAGAGCTGACATAGTTTTATTTGTGGTGTAGGATCTCCCTCAGTACTGCTGCCTCCTGTGCTAGCTATCAAGACCTGCATCGTGTTACTATTTTCTCTAAAGCAAGTCAAAAATAAAGTGAACGTCTTCTGACTGACATGAAGGAATCAAACTGAGGAAGAGATCAGCTCTGGTATTGTTCCTTCGTTATCCTAGTTGTAGGATATATATAATGTTATTGGGCCTTGTCCACCAAGGCTGTCCCACAAGGTTCCTGAAGTAGGAAAACGCAAAAGTCTGACTTCTGAAAGGATCAGAGTGTGAGAGGCTCCTTTAGCAGGTGACTGCTTCTCTGAATAACAGATGTCTTTTGGCTCGCCCCTCTGACAGGTGAGGGGACCAGTCCAATGCTTTTTTCTTGGTCACTGCTACTGACCAGTAGCCTCTGTCAACTCTGTGTTGTTGGCAGCTAAAGCAAATAGATAAGTTGTTAAAAATCTAGAAATCTTTAGATGGAACTAACTTGTCTGAATTCCCATAAGATAAAGAGTGACCCTTTGCTGAAACATAAACGTCGGGTTGCCAGCGTCACAGCAGTATGCCAGGGCTTGGTTCCCGCTCTGTCTCCTGCACGGTGCTGATCAGAGCTTGTGTAGCTCTCAGTGACCGAAGGTCATCAGGAAACTCTTAAGGATGGAGAATGTGGTTCCGCCTTTTTTCCCCACACCCACGAGTGCCATCACAAAGGAACAGGAAACTCTAGGAGTGTGACAACAGGCCTTTTTGCCCCTTCGTCTTCCTTTAGGTTGACAGGTACTGATCGCCAAAGAATAAGACATCTCCTTTTTATTGTTTTTGTTTGGTTTTGTTGGAATTCCCTCTCTGCTGACAGTGTAGAGACTCGGTGAATAGGATTGAAAGGGGACTTGCATAGGTATAAGCAAGGCAGTTCCCTGACTAGCCTGGCTTGTTCAGCTGTGGAGGATGACTGGTACATCAAAAAGGGATTATGCAGAATTATTATGGTTGCCTGTTTAGCTTTCACGGAGCTTGTGCACGACAGGATATATACACATAGAAACGAAGAGGGATGATGGGAGTGTCCTAGCTCATGCAGGTGTTGGTGAGCTGCTCTTCGAGTGGCTTCTAGTTACAAGGAAGTAACTTGCTTTTATCAAAGACTTTCTAACATGAGGCTGTATGTACCGTATGTTAATACTTAAGTCTCAGTCATCACTAGAAGCACTGTGGAAACAGTACTATGGGTGTTTGTTTGGTTTTTTTTATTCTCATTTCCTGAGCTTTCATCTCCATTTCTGTAATGCCGGTCTTGTGTATGCTGTTACATCCACACATCAGCAGTGCTTGTGCCTCACCTTCAATAGTGCCATCAGGCTGTGATATTAGCAGGTGATTTTTGACTCCTAAACTGAAATGGATTAAGTTGCAATTGAAATAGAGACCAGAAGAAAAATATTTGGAAGGTAAATTATAGGGGAAAAGTAGAACCCACCAACTTTGGTCTTTCTGAACCATGGTGAATATAGTGGCTTTCTGTGAATGGGAAACATATTTATTGGTAAGGTTTGTGCATGTTTCACTGATGCCTGTTGTTTGGTTGTCCCAAGCCCAGTAAGGACTGGGTGCACACATCCCTTTATCAACTTGAGGTGCAGGGTTCTGCCCCGCTCTCTCCTGCCCGGGGGTGTCATACTGTTCCACTGCTCTGCAGCTCAAGATCTCCTGCTTCTGGCACAGTGTGCATGTGAAAATGTGTAAAAATGCATGATCACATTACTGATATGACTGTCAATGTTAATCAGTGTGTGCGGGTGTTGAACGAGCCAGTGTCAGAAAAACAGTTCTGTAACTGTCTTTTCAGTTTAGTGCCCTAGGTCATCGGAATCGCTTCCCCACTACGCTGGGAGCAGGTGCTAGAAATAGTTGAGATGTGACAAGGGAAGCTGTCACTCAGTATGTAAAACCAGAAGCAGTCTTTAGGTAGCATTAGCCTTTGTTTGATCATTTTAAGACTGATGTACAGGATATTAAATTTTGGAAGCAAATCTAAATTGAGGTTATATTGGAAAATGGAAATTGTGATCACCCCCCACACATGAGATATACAACTTGGAGCCTGCATGTGCACAAAATGCAATGTGGTGCGTAGACTATGGTACCTAAAAGCAACCTTTGATAAACTTTTATTGCTTTTTTTCCTGTTGTTGTTGTGTTCTATATCTGTTCTCTCCAGGCTTCGTGGACCCGGCCCGAGAAACAAGAGGTATAAGATTACCAGACCTTTAGCAAAGTTCTTAGTTGATTTTTTTGTTTGGTTGTTTTTTTAAGTATTACAGATTAACAAATATCTAGTCCAGTAACCACGTCAACTAAACCAGCATTAATAATATGAATAAATTAAATAACCGATATGTAAAAGAAAAAGCTTATAGAGTTAGAATTTGCTTGGCATGTAGTAATGCATTTCTGGATGAGCAAACTAGCTGTGTTGGGAGTGAGTAATTCTGGTTGTCACTTTAAAAAAACAAAGACCATTAAAAATAAAAGCAACTGTGTTAAATCTGACAAATACTGCTGTCACCATTTTCTTCTGTGCCACCAGCATGAATCATATTCCTCTTCCAGAGTTTTAAGAATTAGCAACAGTGTGTGTTCTGGGAAAGTATTCTCTTTTTTCCAGAGAGAGCCTCTTCTGCTCCAACCAACTCATCTGTTTGCTCATGGCGCTCTTCAAGTTTAACCTTCTCTTAAAGGACAACTGCATCATGTTCCATTTCAAAACCAATGCAGATAAATCTTTCACAAGTTCTGTTACTCCAGAAAGTGCTCCAAATTGCTAAATCATTATTTGTCTTTGATGTGCAGAGGTCAGTGAGGGAGTATATATGTAGTAACTCAGTTTGACGCAAATGTGTTTTGTTGCTGGTTTATTTCGCACATAGTGCTGTATTTTAAAACTAATAATGGTAACATACCTTTACCCGCATCTGATTTGTAGCGTTCCTGCTTCAAAATAGACCAGAAAGTATGCTTCCAAGCAAATAATAGGGATCAGGTGAAGAACAAAATAAGCTATCAGAAGTGGGTGACTTGTATTTGTATTTTTAAGATCTACTTTGTGGAGACTCTGGATATCCTTAATTCTTTAGTATTTTTAAGCTGTCTTAAACCGTAGAGGTTGGTGTGGCCTAAACAAAGTGAACCTTTAACTTAACCAGCCTCTGCCTTGGTTTTTATGGGGCTGAGAAGATACTGCACCTTCTTTCTTCGAAATAATCTGTTGGAATAGGTGAATTGTGGCAGGTGGAGGCATTGGATATTCAGACCAGCTTGTGTTGAAGAATTTGGAATTTGAGTAGTTGCATCTCTTCAGACCTCATGTTAATTCCTGTTACGGTTGTCTCCATCTCCCCTTCACCACCCCCCTTAGTGTTTTCACTGTGCTCTCTGTCTCAAGCTTTATTAATATGAGCACTAATACTATTAAGTTTGCTGCCTCTAAATTTCTTGTCTGTGTCTTAAAATATCCGGGTGGGGTCCTGTGAGAGTGTTGTTGTACTTCGTTGCTACAGGCTGTGCAGACATATCTTTCAAATAGCATTGGGTCTTTTAGCAGTGTATTCCAGCAGTAGGGAGTTAAATTCTCAGGAAGGTGGGTGAACACTTGGCCTTGTGTTTTGCTCTCTTACTAAGGCATTAGTTAGTTGAAAGTAAGGAAATCTCTATGTGCTTCAGTCACAGCAGCATTTATGGGTGTTAAATCCTGCTTTCCTGGCTTTCAAGGCACAATTGCAGTTGCCTGCCTCTTCCTCTAAAGCACCGTCAGCTCTTCTTGCTGTGCAGAGCCCGTAACATCTCGGCTCACCATTCTGGTCTCCAGTGCGAGGGTGGCAGGACTCTGGAACAGATTGCCCGGAGAGGCTGTGGCTGCCCCCTCCCTGGAGATGTTCAGGGCTGGGTGGGATGAGGCCTGGAGTGACGTGGGCTGGTTAAGGGCGTCCATGCCCATGGCAGGGGTTGGGTTAGATGATCTCTGAGGTCCCTTCCACCCTAAGCCATTCTGTGATTCCTTCACTGGAATTTGTAGCTGTGGTCAGGATTTCCAGGTGCTATTTTGTAATGATGTCCACTGTTTGGGAAGTGGGTGAGGAGAAGATACAACTGTTTAAAATTGAGTCATGGATACGTGTTTGTGAAAGGACTGAAAAATTCAGAAGGTGGAGGAGGGAAGGGAGAGTAAATCTAGGCCAGCCTTGTACATAGTAACTATGTGTCACGTGAGAATGTCAGAATTTGGAGAAGAACACCTGCATGTATCCCAGGATAAATTGCAGTAATTGCTGATATGGAGAACCATCGTACTCCTTTCTGTAGCGTGGCGGTTGCTACGGCATGAGTTGTTGCCTGTGTCCTTAGCTTGTCTCCCCACTACTATGAAGCATTTTGTTATCCCAAATCTGCGAAATCGAGGAGGCTGGGTAAAGGGATTACAAGCATCTGCATCTGGGCTTACAAGTTTCTACCTTTCCAGTGCCTCCAACATAGCCAGGAATAGTTAGCACCTGATGGTCTGAAATATGAATAAAGAAAAGTAGTAGCAAGCTTTCTTAGGTAGGCATTTTTCTCTTTCGTGGGGTATTTTTCCTGATCTTCCTTTTTCTTTGCTTATACCTTTTGCATTATGAAACAGATCTTCATCCAGCATTGGTTGCATTATTTGTTGTTTTACTGTGACTACCTTGCACTCTTTTGTTTGTACTAGACCTTTGTAAAGTTGGGAAAAGGCAAGTGGCACTGGATGTAAAATCACCTTTGCTATAATGATCATTTTGCCATGTTTGTACTCTTGCCTGCTAAAGGGGTCACAGAGACAAATATTTAGACCATTCACCTAACTCACGAGCTAAAAGCAGCTGAGAGCTTGTGCAGATCTGGAGTCTTGACATTTGTGTATCCTGCTGCAGTGGTGTGAGAATCAAATGATAAGTCAGCAAAAGGGTGGCAATACAGTCAGTCAGCAAAGGAAGATACAGGCAGAATTTGGTTGCCTAAGATGCGACAGTGGAGTAATGGAAAGTTAGGGGACCTTTCCTTGTTTCTAGGAAACGATGTGCACACCGTGACTACATGAAGTAAAGACCTGTTCCCAGCAACACTGTAGGACTGAGCACAGGAGAGGGAGTGGAGTTTGTAGCTTGTGGCATTAGTTGGGGGTTGCAGTAAACCTACACGCGGGCTAGAAGAGAGAAGAAAAATACATATCACTGTTTTTGCGTCATCAAAGGAAAATATTCTTGTGCATATGAAATTTGACTAGCTCTGATATTCAGAACTAACAGAGGTAATCGCATTTACTTGTGCGAAACTTTGTCGGTCCAGAGATTGAGCCTCAGGACTGAGGCTTCAGGCCCAGAGGACCTGACCACTTGCGATGTACTTGGTGCCACAGCTCGCTGCATTTGGCTGTTTAATATCCTCGGGCTTTTTACTTACAATCTCGGTACTTGTCCTGTATCTTCCAATGAAATTAATGCTGTTGGAGCATTAATTGCATTAAGTGTGACAGACTGCAGCAGCAAACACAGCCATGAGGCTACCTAATTTATTTACTTGTGCTTGTGCCATGTGGGAAACTAGATGAGAGAGTTGGTGCTTTAAAGCTTCTAAGCTGAAGCACGAGCACTGAGAGCCTGCACAAGTGGTGGCGGGAGGAGTCCATTGCCTTACGCACTTCAGGTATTGAGAGAACTTGGGCTTTGTTCACAAATTGGAGAGTAAAACCATAAAAAAGTGATGCGGGATGGGATCGCTGAGTGGCTGCAATCCATTTGAACAGATGGCAGTCTGGATTTTGTGTTTCTTGTGTCTCTGTCATTGACATACCCACACTTAATTGCATGTGGGAGCAATTTCTAAACTGGCATATAACCAGTGCAGATTGCTCCAACGTTTTCTTGAAACATCAGAAGACCTTGAAGCAGGGTTGCCTCTAGAAGGGTCACATGGTTTTCTTGCCCTGTTCACTGTACCTTGTTCTCTTGAGTACCATGCTCAGGTGAAAGTTCTGAGCTTTTTGTCTTTTTTTTTTCCCTGATTCATCTCTGAGGTCTGGATCTATTCTTAGTAGTGTCATTTCAAGGACGCTGAAATCAAATAAATGTTAGTGACAGAAGAGGAAGGGCTGAATTCTCTGAGTGGAAACACAGTAGCTGTTGGGGTGGTTTTCCACAAGACCATGCTGGAGACAAAGTTTTTAGAGCTGGATCTGTACAGTTCTTATTCAGGGACGGAGCTTGACTTACCCAGCTGTCCTCAGGCACATAGTAACATCTGATACTTCTGTTCTGCATTTCTTTTTTCCCCCCTTTTCCTGAGTGCTTTGAATCACTGCAGTTGGCCCTGTGCAGCCAGGAATATTCTTGTTGCTTTTGGAAGTGTCTCTCTATGGCCATTATTTCACCTGGCCTCCGGTGATGAACTTTGATGTACTGGGCGCTTGAGGGTTGATGTGAGGTAGATTTGCATTTGTTCCATCCTTTTAGTCTGCACTACAGGCTCAGAGCTCAGCCTCTAACTCTCTTTTCCTTTCCTGCCAGACCCTGGATGGGCGCATCATAGTACGTAGCCATGCCCGGGTGTCGTCCCTGACTCTCAAAGAAATTCAGTACACGGATGCCGGAGAATATGTATGCACAGCCAGCAACACCATCGGGCAGGACTCCCAAGCCATGTACCTTGAAGTGCAGTGTAAGAACTGGAGGGTGGGGCGGGGAGAACGTTCATGTGCTTAGAGCGGGACTGATTTGATATTTTTTTTTTTCCCCGGGATGAGACTGAGGCACCTACGGCTAGAGAAATGCGTGTTGTTTAGGTAGTTGATGTGGGAGGCAACTCAGCCTGAAATAGTTTTGTTGGAGACATGTTGCTGTGTGCATACACACAAATATTTGCTCTAGCTGTCTCCATCTGGGATGCTGTTTGCACCTTGGGAAGATGACAGGCCATGAATCTGCTGCAGTCCCATTTGTTGGGTGCGCTGCCCACTGAGAACTGCCTGTTCCGTGCCTCACGGGATGCATAATGCTGGCTGCTCCTCCTCCCCCACTGCGTTAGGAGCAGCCTTTGGGACTGAGAAGGTTTCTTCCTCACATCCTTCAGCAAAAGGCACTGCCGGTCCCTCCAGATGAGAAGATGATTCCCATTTCCTCTGTTAGATTCCCTTCCCCACATTAGACTGGACCCCAGCCAAAGGATCCTGAAAGTGAGGCTGACTGGGCTACTTTGCAAGATTTTTCTGGCTCACATTGTCTTCACAAATGTGTCTGTCTTTCAGATGCTCCCAAGCTTCAGGGCGCTGTGACTGTCTATACCTGGGAGGGGAATCAAGCGAACATCACCTGTGAGGTGTTTGCTTACCCGAGTGCAGTCATCTCCTGGTTCCGGGATGGACAGCTGCTTCCCAGCTCGAACTACAGCAACATCAAGATCTACAACACTCCAACCGCAAGCTACCTGGAGGTGAGGAAGAGCAAGGGGGGGAGAGGACGTACGCAGCCACGAAGGCTCGGTGCTATCAAATAATTTGTTGAAGGAGTTAAGTCTTGTTAGGACTCTCTGTTGGTAGACAAGAAGTTGTGTGGTGTTTCTGGCTCTTAAATGCCAGGAAACAGAAGACACTACCCTGTCCTTGACTTTGACTTTCTGCCCACTGCAGTTTTCGTCTCCGTTGACAGCCCTGAGAGTGTTAGCATGTGTACTTTAGGGTAGCTTCTCTCCCCAGCAAAATGCAGTGCGTTGGCAGAGTGAAAAGCGTTTTCTGATCTGAGCACGAGCCTTCATTCCTTCCGCAGGTGACACCAGACTCTGAAAATGACTTTGGAAACTATAACTGCACTGCTGTGAACCGCATTGGCCAGGAGTCCGCAGAGTTCATTCTTGTGCAGGCAGGTGAGCATCCCAAGCAGGGAGATATGCAAATGCATCTGCTGCTTTTGAGCTGAGGAGGCAGAGTGACTGTTCTTTTCTAGGTTGTGTTGGTGTGGTAGCAGTAGAGCCAGCTTCTGCTTTCAAAGAGATTGTTCACAGGTTTGTTTATTTTTGTTTGTTGCTGGAATCAGTTGTAGACAACAAGGTACTCAGTGTCTGTTTCCTTGCCTCTGAGGGATCTTAGTCTTTTCTGAGCTACCAGTACGCTTTGACAGAGCTGTGATCTTTGATTTCTGACAGCAATGGCAAATGTGCATATGCGTGCACATGTGCTTCTCAATCGGCAAAATATTGCTAATAGTCCAGGTAGTGTAAGGTAGGAACCTCGGAGCATTGTGTACCAGCCAGAGAGGCCCAATGTCTGACTGCATGCCAGACTGCATGGAAGGGCCTCTGGTGTCCTCTCTGGGGCTGCCAGAGAGGTAGTTTTAGGAACAGCCAAGCTGTGTGTTGGAAGAGACTGCAGCTGCAGCGAGAGAATAGCACACACAATGATCTTGCAACTCTGCTCTGGTTGTCTGCTTTTGAAGAAGGAATTTTAAGTCTTTAGCCTTTTAGGGGGGAGACAAGATAAAGGTCTCTGCATTGCCTAATTAGCATTTTTAAAAGCCCTCTTAACTTAACAGTCTTCGCCTCCTGAGGGGAGCCTCAGGCCTACCCATCTGCTGTCCTTTGTGAAGCCATGAAAAGGGCTTTGCCACTGCCTATGTTTCCCACTGTCTTCTGTATCACTGGTTGTTTTCCCTCCCTCCACAGATACCCCGTCCTCTCCTTCCATTGACAGAGTGGAGCCCTATTCCAGTACTGCCCAGGTGGAGTTTGATGAGCCTGAAGCTACCGGTGGGGTACCCATCCTCAAGTACAAAGCAGAGTGGAGGGCACTGGGCGAGGGGGAATGGCATTCAAGGTTGTATGATGCAAAAGAAGGTAGGATGATAAAACAAGATGTTACGTCCCCCACGTGCATCTCGAGAGACTTTCTTCCCTTTAGAGGAAAGTCAGAGTGGAGGGTTCCATAGCTTTGCAATTTCAGCTTCTGTATCAAGGGCCCAGACAAGTTCTGAAATACTTGCTTTACTGTGGCACCTTGGATTTTCAGCTGGAAATGAAGGCCCCATTGTGCTGATAGCTCTACGTGTGTGGCAGGGCACGAGCCTTCTCCACCTCCGGAATGTGTGTTTCATCACTGTGTCCATCTCTGTATCCCTCCCTTGTTCACACCATCCTGGGGTCTCCCGCTAACTCCCCTACATGCCCTCTAGAGAGGGGCTGTGGCAGTGCGCCTCTCAGCAGCTGGTCCTAGTGGAGGCGGTAGCTCTGAGCTTTCTCTTCGCGCTGTTTAGATGAGGCTGGGCCCAGCAGAGGGCTTACGTACGTGGGATGCAGGTGGCAAAAGCATAAGGTAGAAATAGGGCGTTTATTGTTGCCCTAAAGCCTAAGCCTTTCTTTACTCTTCCTCCCTTGTTTCTGCGACAGCCAACGTGGAGGGCATGATCACTATCACTGGCCTGAAACCTGAGACAACCTACTCGGTGAGACTGTCCGCGGTCAATGGCAAGGGCGTGGGTGAGATTAGCCTGCCGTCCGACTTCAAGACACAACCAGTTCGTAAGTAAAACCTCCCTCTGCTTCTCTGGTGCTCTTCCCTTGCATCTTTCCAGGGAATCTCTACCATGCATGGATGACACCTTCTTCTCTTGCAGACATCGTTTCACCCTTTGTTTTGTTCTGGTTTTTTGCTTATAGTGAATTTCTTTACTAAATCAAAATCTTCTTTGAAGGCATTAGTTTGTCCTCTGGGTTCCTAGTATAAACTTGGTATTGTCAAAGAGCAGAGTCTGTGCAATGTAGAGTTTTAATACAAAAAAGCGGTGAATTGAGAAGGGTCATTGAGAATCATAGAATGTAGCGTCATTGTCACAATGCAGGAGTTTTTTTGCAAATCGGAAATCAAGAGGCTCAGCACAGGGCTGGCCATGAGCTGTGGAAGGAGGAGGGAGGGAATTTCTCTTCTCTGCACATCACCGCTTTGCATGTAATGTGATTTCCACGGCTTCTTGTCTGCTTTACTTGGGTAATCTTCCACTCCAGTGGCAGGATGCTCTGCTGTGGCCTAACACTTCCCCTCCTGTTTTAACTAGGAACAAAAGAGGCAAGAATTAAAGAAGAGAGATTTATTCAAGACAGGAAGGAAAGAAAGAGGAGAAAAAAAAGTGTAGAGTGGCAAGCTAAGATGTGACAAAAGCAGGCGGGGGAGAGCTGGTCTCTTACCCTTACACGTAGCCTCATACCAGTATTGGGATCTGGATTCAACCGCCTGCGACCTTGGGCTTCTTTCCCATTCTCCTTGCACTTAGATCTACAGTCTATTCCTCTTCCCACTGTCGTGCCCATACTTGTGTACCTATTTTGTAGCTCTTCGGAAACGACTATGCAGTAGCTTCTCCTGGATTCAAAGCTAGCGACGTTCCTTTCCTAGCACATGTACGTGCATGATTTGAGGCCCCGTGAGCTGCGCATGGTCTTGGTTTTTGTCTGCCAACTTCTGCCTTAGCGCAGCCGCTGAGCGGTGTGGGACAGTACAGGTGCCTTGTTGCCTGGAGGTCCCAGGCCCGGTGCAGTCAGACAGCCTTCACAACTCGTGTGCACTCTGCTGTGATGACTCCTGAAAACTACCCCACTCCCTAGGGTGTTGCGTTGGAGACTGCTGGTGCTATTTTGATTTTCCAGCTCCATGTCCTCTAACTCCTCACCTCTTCTACATTTTTTTTTTGTTTATCTCTGTCTTTTCTTTTTGTCTGTGTTCCATCCATGGAAAAACTGCAGGCATCCCTCACTCACGTAAGTGCCTCTCTGCATTTCTGTCACTCTCTTTTTATGTTAGTAACCCTAACATACATAACATTAGCTTTTAATCTAATACCTTTTTCCTCTGCGGGTCTGTAGAAAATGAAGTAACTGGCACGGTACATTTTCTAACAAGACTGACACTAGAATAGTCATCCTACCGTGGGTAATACTGCTCCTTTTAGAACAGAATTAGGGCTTAACATCTTTGTCATTTTATAAAGCATGCAATTCAAATATTTAACTTAGTGATTGTCTAATGATAATAGCTAGCTTGTTGACTACAGAGTGGAGTAATGGAAGGCTTCCTGTGTGCAAATCAATTAAAATTTTTCAAATTTTAATGAAATGCACATAATTCGGGGCAGGGGTTGGGGAAGGCAGAAGCAGGTTTTAGCTGAATTGCAAATCTGGTTTAGACCAATTAAGAACCAACCAAAAACTTCAGAATTTTTTAATATCTTAACAATTTTGAAAGCAAAAACTTGAAGAAGAAGAATCATGTTTTTCGCCTCTTCTCACTAGTAGTTTTTATTGTGTTAGTAGTCTTTGACAGTCTTCCAACACTTGTGTAGATTGTGTACTTAAATAAATATTGTACTAAACTTAAAGATGCATGTTTCCCCCTTCCCAATGCAAAATGCGTTAGAGATTTGATGATATGTTTAATTGTCATAGCCATAGCTTTCTGCCTTTCAGATCAGTGGTAATCAATGGTGGCTGAAAGAAACCTCTATCTAATTGAGCATTATTCTGTTAATTAAAGTATGTGTCCCAGATTGCCCGGGCAAGCTTTATGAAGCTGCTGTAGCTTTCTCTGAGATTTCTGAAGCTGAAGTAAAAAAAAAAAAAATTGCTCTTTTGTGTTTTGTTTATTTTTTTAATCCTAGTTACAGGATTTGAATCATACTTGCGCTGTTTTTCCTTAAAGATTGTATTATATGAAAGCTTGGACTTAGTGCCCACTAGCAGGATGAATGGATTGGTAGTCAAGGAAGGGACAGATGGGTAGAACTGCAAATTGCAGTAGTTTCAAGGAGTCAACTGGGAGACATGTTTCCAAAACATATGTGCAGCCTGTTGCCTAAAATTGTTCGGCGCCTGTTAATTTCAGTAGAAGTAGTAATACCCCTTACAGGAAGTTAATCGTGGTCAGTATTATAATTACCAGGCAGGTGCTTGGGTGGGCCCTTCTGAATTGGACAAAGTCAGTGATACACATGGGACATGAGGGCTTAGGTATTCAGGATCTGTGCAGATCAGTACTACAGGAAAAGGGAAAAGATGCGTTTAAGAAGAAAGGAAAAAGAACATTAAAAGCTTTGTTTCAGCCACATCGACAGATCTGTCCACCAAGGCTTGCGTTCATCACTTGGGGACAGGTACATGGCTTTGAAGAATATTAAATCACACCTGAAGAGTTGTGGTTTTGGGGGTTTTTTTGTTTTTTTTGTTGTTGGTTTTTAATGTGGCAGTTGGCTAACAATTAGTCTGTAGGCCCTAGGTCTACTCCCTTGTAGGATAAGTTCCATTTCTTTTTTCCTTCTTTGTGGGCTATAGTATTTTTTTTTCATTTACAAACTAAATCTTGCTTATGTTCTTTCAAGCATATTTATGCCTTGCAGTTCTGGCAAAGTGCATTTACTTTGCTTGAGCTCTATGTGCAGAGCAGCCTGATCTGACCAAGTCCTGCCAATATTTATTTTTTAAGTTTCCATTTTTTTCCTTTTTTTGGTAGTACGTAACAGGAATCAGCTCCCCTCCTCACCTTCCTTTCTCTTTCCTTAGCAAATACCACTGCACCTGCCTCCCGTTTAGCAGAGAGTGAGTATGGTAGAAGAGGCTGCCGTATTTGTACCGTTTTGCTCTGCGTGCATGTCCTCACCGAGTGTGATACATTCTTCCTAACATCCTTGGGTGTTTTCCTTCTTTTCTGTTTCTTTTTATTGTTTTTTGGGGGGGTGGGTGGTGGTGTTTGTTTTTCCCCTGAAAACTGAATATTCAGGTGGAAGAACTACAGATAAGCATAAGTTTGATTTCCAGGACAGAGAAAAGCCACAGACAACTCCCAGGTATGCTGGTATACTGGACTCAGGAGGGAGAGAGATCAAGAGAAAGGTGTAGAAACCCTGCCCATGTCAAAGCTGTTTTTTGTCGCTGGCCTTTGCTGTTAAGATTTCTGATCGGTTTGTGTTCTGCTCTTGTGACATCTTAGGGGGGGATATGCTTAGCTTTTGTGGTGTGAAACTAAATTTTCTGAAATCAACTTATCACAGCAAATTAAGAGTTTAACTTCTCAGCTAAATAGGGCAGAAGATACTCAAATGACCAGCAGGGAATGGCTTGTGCTTACCTAAGCCTGTTACTAAGACACCTTCTGGAGCTGTGGAAGAAAACTTGCTTCATGTCCTGCTTCATCCTTCTTTTTAATATTTATAGTCAAGTTCAGAGAAGGGACCCGTAAGGATCATTGAGTCCAACTCCCTGCTCCTCCCAGAACTACCTAAAATGAAGCCCTGTGATTAAGAGCGTCACCCAGGCGCTCCTTGGAACTTGGACAGGCTTGGTGCCGTGGCTGCTTCCCTAGGGAGCCTGTTCCAGTGACCAACCATGCTCTCATTAAAGAGCCTTTTCCTAATGTCTGAACTTCTCAGGCGGCTTCATTCCATTTCCCAGTGTCTTATTGTTGGTCACCAGGGAGAGGAGATCAGCACCTCCTCCTCTGCTGCCTCTGTTGAGGAAGTTGTAGGCTGCGGTGAGGTCAGCTCTCAGACTTCTTGAAACTAAACAGACCGAGTGACCTCAGCCACTCCCTGTAAGTCTTGCTCTTGAGACCTTTCACCATCTTGGTTGCCCGTCTCGACACACTCGAGTAGTTTGATGTCCTCCTTACACTGAAGTGCTGAATCTGCCAGCATGTCTCTCCCTGTGGAGAGGCGTTGGAAAACAGCAGCAGCAGATCACAACTTTTGCAACCTCCACATCTGCTATAAGGAGTCAGTGATGTTCTCACTCTCCTCACTAGACCTCCTCTTTCCTTTTTACCTCCCCTGCCTCTTGTAACTTATTTACATGGTGTGCTTCACCTTTACATGCTCTATCTGTCCTTCCTGTTTCCATAGCAACTCGGCCTCTTGCTGAATCTGAAAGCTCAGAGCTACCAAGTGAGTAGATGGGAACTGCTCCTTTTTGATCTGGAGTGCTGTTTGTTATGCGAGAGCCCTCCTGTCAAGGGAGTTAAAGCGTTATATTGCATTTATCTTGATGTCTGTTAACCAGCAATTTGGCATGAATGTGTTGTGTGTGCATAGAGCTGTTAAGAACCCAGTGTGGTACCACTCTTCCTCCTTTTCCTGTCATCCTACCAAGGATGTGGTAAAAAATAGAAATATGGGATTTAGAAGAAACATGAAGGGAGAGAAAGAGCGAGAGGGAATGGAATTTTGAAGGATCGTTTCCAAAAGGAGTGTTTTCCTTTCACATATTCCATTAGTGATTTTAGTGTTAATGCTGCCTTCCCAAAAGGAACGTGGGCTAAATAATCTTCTTGCTACTCTACCTTGCTCTATTTTCTGCAAATTTTAGGGACGTACGGTTGATATTGCAACCATAGATGTTAGATGTTGAAAGAAGGTACGAACGAGGAGGTAGACTATCTTACAGGAGAGAGGACTGGGGAGAGGGAGCATTGCCTCGTGTTCCTGCTCATGCCCTGCCTGCGCTGAGAGGTCTAAGACTTCGCAAAAGGTCCATGTCTGAAA